TGAACGTGTCGAGGTGGGTGCTGATCCGGTGGGAGGGGCTGCACGAGCGGCTCGTGCGGCTGGAGCGGGAGGGGCGGCTGGCGGGGCTGGGCGGCGGTGATGGCGGTGGTGGGGCGGGGGGGGCCGAGGTGACGGGCAGGTTGAGTGCGGCGGGTAGGACGCGGAGTGGCAAGGTGGCGGGAGGGAAGGTCAAGTTGCCTCTGTTGCCACGGTGAGGTTGGGCGAGGGGTGACGTGTACGCGTGTACTGTACAGGTTTGCGGGAAGTGCGATTTTTGTGTTTGTATATTTTCGTAAAAAGTATCAAGTTTGTGTGTGTCTGCAACCGGGTTCTCCCTGGTTCACATTTAACTTAATGTGTACCCTTCGAAGGGTACCTTATCATATACCTCACATCTTTATTTACAACAGAGCTAAGACCCGTCTGCAACCCCCCTGGCCCGCGGCCCAGTGCGCGCGGTTGGGACAGACTCTCGTGCCACAGTTGCCCCGCGTGTCCACGTGTCCACGTGTAAAGTAATGTGATGACGCAGTGGGGGACGGTGGCACAGGGGGGAGGAGGAGGGCGTGTCAGGGCGTGGGCCTGTCCAACTTTCAAGGAGACTTGAGTGGGCAGTAATAGTGCAAATGGACTTAGTACTTAGGACACCGAGGCGTCTCTAAATAAATTGTTTCATTTCGACACGGTACTTGTAGGTCCGAGCCGTGATAAGGCATGCGGGCGAGGGTAGCAGATGGTAGCAGTAGCTCATATCGTAGAGAGGAGCGGCTGTCGGCGGCGCGCGCCTGCACATGTCTCGCGACACAACGACAGCGTGCGCCAACCAGCGTGCGCTAACTGGCGCGCGCTGACAGTGTAATTTGCACCTGCCGCGATTTGTACGGCCCAATGGCAGCGGGCGACGGCTCGCGGAACGCCTCCACGCGTCGTGAGGCCCGCATTGACCGCAGAATTGTACGCGTACACGTGTGGAGAGTAGCAGCTCTAGTAGCACCACCGGGAGGCTTTCATGCATCTCCGATTCCGCCCGCCTCACATTGACCCAGGCTGCGGTAGAACGGTAAATGTCCCGAGTCGCACATGCCCCGCCTGTATACTGTAGATTGCTCCCAGTCATTTCGACGCCCGTGACACCTTGCACACCACCGACACCGTATTAGATCACCCGCCCGTGTCCTCGCCTGATCCTTCCGCTTCCCCACATAAACAAACAAACACACCCCCCTTTCCGATCTGCACTGTCCCACTTCCCCCCGCCCCACCCCCGTCACCTCTATTCCCCCACCTTCCCGCACCCGCCCCCTCCGAAAGCCTTATACCCACCTCGCACCCACACCCCCGCCATGACCACGATCG